GCCCCCATACCCCCCCAACAACAACAACAACAAAAATTGTCTTTCCACAACTGAAACTACAAGGCACAAGATAATTAAGGTGGAACAACTGAACTTCAAACCATTTTACTGATACAGCTGAATAATTGCACACAAGGCACAGACATTTCGGTCATAACATATCTACTAAACCAATTTTGATGTGTAACTGCTTCATGTGAAGATATGACAAATAAAAATGTCGGCCATATATTTTACTAATAAGACAAATTATGCAGGGTCAAGAACTTGTAGATAAAGCTGACAATTGCCTTCTTTATTTGGTTATTCTATATCTCTTGAAAAAGCATATAATAGAAAGTTGAATGATAACCTAGCCTGAAATTACATTACTTTTGACTTAAAGTCTTTGTCTTATATCCATGATCTTTTATTATAAAGTCAAATACTATTAGTCACCAAGTTTTGCTCCCTAAGAGCTGTTTTGCAGTGCCATTTTGAATGCAAGTTTCATGAAACTCAGCACATGGAACATTTTTTTTTTCAAAAATTGCAAACTAGGTGACTCTCCTTTAAGAGGCCCACACCATGTCTTAAGATCTGTCCCAGCTTCTTCCTGAATGCCTTTCTTCCTCTTAACCCTAGTGCTTAGAGACTGTAATAAAAACTCTTAATAAATTCTAACTCTTCTTTAAAAAAAAATAACTAACGGAAACTATTTTTCCTAAGAGCATGCCATTATTAGTTAAGTTTATAACACTAAAGCATTTTCAGCAGAATCCTGATATTGACCAGATCATAAGACAACTGGACAGAGTTCTCAGATCTCTTCTAGAAAGTTCTAAGTAAAATGTTGCTACCTAATAGTATGTGACATGAATTCTGAGAGTGACACTGTAGGTTAATTTCTACAAAGAAGACATTTAGGATTGCTTTATGCTTATAGGTTATTTCTTGAGTTCGTTCCTATCTTAAAAGGTTTCATTCATACATATATACACACACATAAACATCCAATTTTGAAAAATAATTACTTTCACTGGTGAATATGTTGAAGAACACTAAAACAGTCCTACTCAATTAAAAAGCTAGAGCACAATGATTAAACTTTTGGTTATTTGACTAAAATGCAGTATAATAGCATATGATGAAAAACAACAAAGCTGTCATTTTTATAATGGAAATACTGACATAACTTATTGCTTTGCTATAATTAATATCCTCAGCATTATACTAATGGGAGAGGTGCCCACATTTATAGCAATAACCCTGGTAGTGTTGGCTTCCACACACACGATTTCCTTTTTGTTATGTCCAGAGTCTGCTGCATTGAGTTTTCCATGTGGTGTGATGCTTCTAGACCATTCGATAACAGCGTCTTTACCCGTAGGCAAATATAGATTTAAAAGCATTACTTACTGTGACAGTCTCCTAGGCCATCTGTATTGCCACGCTCTATGTCCTGTTCAAAAGCCAGCCTTTTTAAAAAATGGGAGGACAAAGAAAGAAAAAAAAAAATACAATGCCATGAGTTATCACTCAGGAATGAGTCTTTAGTTTCTTTAAAAAAGTGACCTGAGCCGGGCAGTGGTGGCGTATGCCTTTAACCCCAGCACTCGGGAGGCAGATGTCTTGCAGGTCTCTGTGAGTTCCAGGTAAGCCTGGTCTACAAAGCTACACAGAGAAGCCTTGTCTCAAAAAACAAAAACAAATAAAGTTACTTGTTTGCTAAGCTGAGCTGCAGAGTGAAAGAGAAACAGCTAGCTCTCTAACAGTTATAAAAATGAGTTTTCTGTGACTCTCTGAAGAGAAGCTCTGATAGTAGTGAATTCAGAGCTTATGCAGGAAGTTAATTAGCTTGGGGTTATTCTTATCCTCCCTTACTCTGGTCCCTTAAGAATTTGAAAAGTTTTCATGCTAAGGCCGGGTCCTTTCTGCTTCCCCTTTCACTGTTTTCCTTGCTTCCCCAAGCCCTCTTCTCTATGCCTTGCCTACAAAGCACACATGTCCAGTGTTTAAAGGCACAACTGGCCAGTGAGCATGTGGAGCCTGTGAGAGGGGGACCCTGGCTGAGATTGTGCTTTCTCCCTGTTCCTTCCAATCCTCAGGACTCCTTTCCTCCTCCTCCTCCATTCCTGGTCATCACCATTCATTCTGAGTTTTCAAACAAGCACACTCTATTTGTCCATGGGAAGGGTGCCCTTCGGGAGAACTTTGTGCTTCTATTTCTAAAACGTAATTGAAAATTCTGATTTGTGGCTGACTCGAAGTGTATTGTAGCATGAACCGCATAAGAAAACTGCTTTGAAAGTCACACCTTGATCTAATAGTCCCTATTTAGTCTCTAATGACTTTGGCTATAATGAAAATCAAATTCCTCCTCTAAGAATATGGGTTTTTTGTAACGAAAGCCGGTATCTATCCAGTCCCCAAACCCAAATCTCCCAGCAGAGCTCCACTCGTGGTGAGCAGTGCCTCTGGCACTCAAATATGGTGCAGGCTTTAAAGGCAGTCTCTGGGAGTTCTGATAGTAACTTTAAAATTGTTTATAAAAACCTTGTTACCTTTGGTCAAGTGTTGAATATAGGACAACTATTGAGCCCCTTCTCAGCCCCACCCCCTCACCGATTTTTTCTGCTCCACCATGAGGATTTTTATGAAAAATACAAAGCCTGAGTTCTATCAAAAGGCAGCAGAGCTACCATCAAAGCCCAGCTTCTGATGCCTAGTGGGTCATCTGTAGCCCTGGGGTTTCCCGGTCACCTTTCACAGTTATCATTAGCTCTGGTAAAGAGAATACTTCTTAAATAACATGGATGGTGGTCACCAAATGGGCTCTCCTAGATGCCTAGCTATTTTAAAAGGTGAAAGGCTGCTTCCAGCATAGGAATAGTTCTGTTTCACAGGTGGGGCTGGGGAGGCTCTTTTGTTGAAGGAGAGCCCTGGACTGCCCTGCACACCTCATTTGATTGTCCACAACTTCTCTGAGACATGCTTTGAATATTTTTTCCAAATGTTATTTTAGATTTCACATCCACTGAAGTTAAAAAAAACCACAGGCAGAACAGAGCTGCTTGATCTAGGGGACCAACTGGGAAATTGCCAAACATTGATTGTGTATCTAATGAGCAGTAAGGTTTGTTCAGCATAGGAGAAAGCTTTATTGGATGTGGACACCATGCTTGAAGCATGGTCACATGGGTTAACAAACACACTGCTGTTTTTTTTCTCAGCCATGTATGGTCAATGAGCAGATTCATTTTTCCATGGCTGGACGATTCATCCACTAATCTAATTGGTACCCCATGGCTCCTTTCTCTGCTGTCCTCAAACTATGATACTCAAGGCATGCATCTTCATGTCCCACTTTCTAGGGAGTACTTTTGAAGCACACTGTGCTTCCTTTCTTTGTTCTTAACTAGTATAGTCTGAGGGGGATTATCCCGTGGACACTGCTACGGATGACGCTGAGGCTCTGAACTGAGTTGGGGATGGGGAAAGCAATTGGCAGTTCCGTGCTGATGGTTTGAGGGAACACAGGCAAGCCGACATCTAGCACTTTGCCCTCCCACCCCTCAGGCTCCTTACCTGCTAAGGGGTGACAGATGGGCGCAGGAACCACTTTCCTTCACCCACCCACAGTATGGATCTCTGGAGGCAATACAGGTTCTGCAGGAAAAGGATGACTGTCAGCTACCGAGGATTGCTTTCTAACTACTATGGATTTTTCCAACTGTCAGTGAGGTAAAATACATACTTTTTACACTTGCCATGTCGTTCACACCGGCCAAGAGGCACCTTTATTACACAGGTAGAGAAAGCAACATACAGTGAGCCACTTGCTCTGTCAAGCTGCATGCCCATAATCCTTTTGTCTTCCACGCCATCGTAGCTGCACCTAGTATTATGAGGTAGGAGGAGGCCATTAGTAGATTCTCAGGAACCATTTTCTATCCCTTTCCACCACCCTTCTACTCATTTCTGCGTTGATAGACTAACCTCCTGATCTAAGATACCTATGTAGACACCATGCATGAGCAGCCATAGGGTCATAACATTATTGGCAAAGAAAATTAATGCTCAGTATTTTTCAGAGATGGTGTGAAAAGTAACGGAAAACTGCATAAACTAACTTGTCTGCCATGATTTTCCATGAGCAGAAAGGGTCACAGGAACATAAATAATTACCAAGAAAGGGCCCAATGTTTGACTCACTTCTCTGGGTTGTAAACATTTATCTCCTCCAGGAAAAGGCTGCCATTTAGGAAACCACTGCTTCCTATCCTGGCCAAGAACTTCAAGATGATTCCCTTTTCTGATCCCAGGAAAACCACAGTGTGATTCTGATACGGCCCAGCAGCGTTGTCTACTGCAATTTTGGTCAGGCGGTATCTAAAATGACAGGATCACGTTTGGGGAGGAAAAAAGAAAGACTCTTTGTTAGTCTATCATTAAAGGTTCCCTTTCCACTTCAAACAACTGTGACACAGCTTTCTAGTAACCATGTCATGAGAAATATATGCATGTAAGTAATGCTCTCAAGCTGTTCCGGTCCTTTATTTTCATATGCAGAACATTAGTATAGCTCCAACAGGGAGAAGGAAGTATGTGTGTACGGAGGCCAAGTTCCATAATAAATATCCATAACCATATGAAACCACTCAGCAATGATTCCTTCCATGAGCAATAAGAGAAGACTGATGGCGCCAAGGGAGAGGGCAGGGGTAAAAAGTGACCATACTTAGCATTCTTTTTTAACATCGAGAAGGAATGCAGTGAATCCCATTCTCCATACTTTTCCTAGGAGGCACTCTGCCTTTGATAATGAGATACAAGATTAGGGAACGCTTTGTGGGATACATAGGAGTAGGGGGGAGGGCACCCAAGGGCTCAGAGCAGTACTAGTATGGGGCATGCAAGCCAAACCACATTTGGTAAGGGAACAGAGAGACAAACATAGAATTAAGGCCTACTGGGTACCCACTTTCTCTGAAATTCTTTGGTCATTCCACGTTTCATGGATACTTACTTGCCCTAAATACCAACACAGGAACTAGAAAACACCAGCTTTCCTATAAGTAATAGGCCGTGGTTGCTAGGGTACAGTCAAGCGATTTCATAGTTCAATAAAAGTCAGCCATTTAAAAATGGGATAAGTTCACGGTTTTGTGTTCTTGACCACCACAGTTTAGAAAAGCCTACTGTATCATTTGAAAAGAAGCTCCCATCGCAAAGGATACTGGATGCTATCAGAGAGCTCCAATCAGCTATTGCTCTGTTGGCATCACTTCAGATAACAAATACTAAGGTATAACTCCTCCATGCTGGCCTGCCATTACAAATGCAGTGTTCCTTCATGCCAGCACCCCAATCTTACCTAACCAAGCAGGTAACCACTTCTTCTCACGGGCCCTCCCTCACCATTCCTCTGCACTGCACAGATTGGATTAACAATAAACTAATCTTGAACAATATTTTTTCTTTCTTCTAATTGCTGGCACGTGTAGAACTGGCCTGAAAATGCTGGCACTCTTCTCACTGGGAATACAGCGATGGGGATTTGGTGGCACCTACCCAGCCCGTCAACATTTCCTAGCTGAATCAATGCCCAGGATAGCAGAAGATGTTTGTGGCATTTCAAAGCCTGCGCTACTGAAAGGATCCATGAGCACAAGAAAAAGACAAGGAAATCCATGTAGGATGCGCTTTGCTTGACACCCACCTGACCATCGTTCTCAGGAACCATGGTCGGTTGATGATGGAAGGTACTGCCTCGTCCATGAGTGGATGTGTCTTAATGAAGTTCAGGGTGTCATCAGGAAACTCATTGGAGGTTGTATATCTTTCTAAAGACGATGAGCCGGCACAACAACCTGGCCTAAAATGAGACAAAGGGTGGCATTGGGGGGAAGAGTTATTTCATGACTTCTGGCAAATTCTTTGAATGAACTGCTTCCCTAAGCATCTGGCATGAAGGAGGCTGCACCGCAGGCAGTGAAGAGGAAGTTGAACAATGCAGAATGCCACCAAGTACAATATGCTGAGATTTCCTCTGGACCGCCTCCTCGTTCTGTGAAGAGGTTTTAGCTGGTACAGCTCAGTTTCGTCTCCAGGCAGCTTGGCTTCCTTCCAGATGCACAAACAAACCCCAGTGTGAACAGAGATGGAGCTGGAACTGAGTGAGTGAGTGAGTGAGTGAGTGAGTGAGTGAGTGAGTGAGTGGGACCATGCATGCCAGGGGGGCTTCATACTGTCGGTCAACTTGATACAAACCTAGACATATCTGGGAAGACGGAACCTCAGCTGAGATAGTCTCTATCACAATGCCCTGTGGAATTGTCTGTGAGGCATTTTCTTAATTGATCATTGATATAGGAGGGTCCTGTCCACTGTAATGTCACCTCTAGGCAAGTGAGCCCAGACTGTGTAAGAAAGGTGGCTGAGCAGACTAGAGGAGGCAAGCCAGTAAGCAGCGTGCCTTGTGGTGTTTCTGTGTCAACTTCCTGCCTTGGCTTCCCTTGATGACAGACTATAATAAACTTTCCCTAAGTTGTTTTCGGTCATGGTGTTTATCACAGCAACAGAAAGCAACCTAGGACACCTTGCTGGAGGTACTAGACACAGTGGTTCTCAACCCTCCTACTGCTGTGACCCTTTAATACAGCTCCTTGTGTTGTGGTGACCCCCAACCATACAATTATTTCATTGCTACTTCATAACTGTTATTTCGATACTGTTATGAATCGTAGTGTAAATATCTGATATGTGACCCCCAAAGGGGTCACAGCCCACAGGTTGAGAATTACTGTTCTCAAAGGAGGGGATTAGGCTAACATTTTCACAAGCATGGAAAACAGAGATTCTCAGTCACCGGGGCACACACCAGAAAGACTTAAATGTTACAACCTCTCAGAGTATATTAGTTCACTTTTCATTTCTGTTTTCATTTGTTATGAGATGTGGGCAGGTCTGAAAAGCCAGTTACACTGAAGAGCCTTTCCTGAAAGACCAGTACCTTGCAACTGAACAGAGATCGTGAAAGTGAATTTTGCAAGAAATTCTGTGGTTTGGGGAGTTACAGGAAAATCTCAGCTAAGTCAGATCAGAGAATACTAAAGTCTGCGGTCTAGACAGCGAGATAACTGCTTGTGCAGAAGAGGAAACTGTGCCCCACTACACAACCTTTCTCTATGCCATGTCGCTACAACCAGCCAGAACTCCACAATCAGCCTGTTATTTGCAAAAAGGATGAAACAAACAATAGAAGCATGTGGGTAAACACTTGGACATGGGAGAAAAATCACTTAATACATGTCCTTATAACACCCAACTACACCATATTCATACACCAAGACATATATGCATATGTTCTCCCTAGAAACCTGTCCCTCCTTTTTAACTCCCCGACTTGCTTATTCAGAAGGTGAAGAGGAGTCCCAGGTGCTGAGTTAGGAGATCTATCTGGTCCCTAGAGTGTACCTTCACATTGGGTCCTTCTTGAACAGGGAAGGAACATGCCAGGCAACTCAGCTGACAGAAACGGATATCCACTTGGGCTTCTTTGGTTCCTAATACCTAAATTGGCTCAATTAAATGTACTTGAAGGTATTTTTTGGTAGAAGTAGGATAGGGGGCCAGGGGAGAGCATTAGAAAACAAAACAGCTAAGAAGACATTGGGCTTAATTCCAGTACCACATAAACTCAGTGGAGAGATTTCCATGTAACTCAGATCACAAAGGTGAAGGTATGGACTCTGTGCCACATAGAGTTGGAAAACATGGGATCAGGATGGGATATAAGTTCTTCCAGATTTAGCTATTTAATGGGAGCATATAAAGAGATTTTATAGAAATAAAGAGTTTCTGCATTGTCTTTGAGTTGTGGGCTTCTATGTGAGAAGGTCTAGGGCATAGCTTGGAAAGGGCTAGCACTCTACTGTAGAAAAACAACCCACTGTACCAACTATTCTTACCCTTGACCTGACACCCTGGATTCAACTCTGATCCCACTTGTTGCCCAAAATCAAGAAATTATCATTTATATATTCACATTTTATTGAGATTAAAGAGTTTGTATAAAATCAGAGGGAGGCACAGCAGAGGTACCTCTCTAGTTATATGAACTTGCGTTATACAGTTTACTGTCTGGTCCTTAAATTTCCTACCTATAGACCAACGAGACTAGCTCTTGCAGATAGCTCCTATCACCTGTTATACTGGGCAAGCCACATTTACAGAGGTTGAGCAGAAGATTAAAGTCCTGTTTTATAGGTACTAAAGATTGCTCTGGGTTCTGGTAAAGAGGATGAATGCAAATGGTCATGACCTTTTTCTGTTGTTCTGAGATCTCTATCTGCCTGGCTTGTGATGCAAGGTCCAGTGTGTGGTCCATAGGATGTTCAGTTTCACCATTTCAGAGTTGAAAATAGCCAAAAAATAAATAAATATTTGCACGTACCCGGGCTTAGGGACTCGCTCATCTGGAACTGGTGTCCAAGTAGAATCGGGAGATTTCTGTTCCTTGAATCTCCCAGTAAAAACATTGGCAATGTCTAGCATGTCGTAGGCACAGACTGCAGACCCGGGGATGCTGCAAATGATGTTTCACACAAAGTGTTACTGTTATAACACAAAGTTATAACTGTTATAACTTCCTTTAGAAAAGAAATTCTTATCACAGGCAGGTAGAATTTAAAGTCCATACCCTGAGCACTACAAAGAAAGGGATGATAAGTGTAAAGAGAATGTGTCTGCCAATCAAATTTGTATCAACAATCTTAAAGAATAGGTTAGTTAGTACAGGCAACATGGGGGGAGGGAAGCCCATCATTTCTTCATCGCCTCTTGAGCCCACTTTCTTTAATGGGGGAGAATTATGAGCTGGTTAAAGAAGTTTTATGAACTCCACAGAAGACAGGGTCCCGCCTTTAGCAGCTAGATCACAGTTTAGATGGAGACAAATATGATAAATTCAGAGCAAGCCAATGAGAGCTGTGCATAAGTTAGCACAAGGTTTCATGACACGCGACCCCTCCACAGGACTTGGATGGGTGGACATTGGTCAGGCTGGTGGACCTTACAGGGGAAGAAAGGCACATTCCAGAACCAGACATTAGGTCTGGTAAGCCTGCGGTATAGAGTGTTCAACAAAAAGGGGAGGAAACAGGCTGAGGAGGGAAGAAAGCCAGACCACCTCGGGGCTGGTGTTCTAGACCAAGGTGCTTGTTTCTCTTTTTCCCCAGGGTAAAGAGGGACCCCTCAAGGATTGCCAGCAATCTGGGGCAACCAAGTCTGCCTTGTGGAGAGGGATGAAACAAGAGAGAGTAAAGGATGAAAATGGTAAACACATTTGTAGACTGGCAAATTAGGTTGTCTGATCTTATTGAACAGATAATATTTCTGAGACCACATAATCATAAGAAGATAATTTTAGGGCCATTTAATAAAACAAATTGATTATCTATAACACACAAGAACACACTATGGTATTATAATCACAAAGTAACCCACACTTTTAATAAAACTAAACCCCCAAACTAGAAATGTATTCTTAAATTCCACTAACCCCTGCATTCCCATGTACCAAGACAATATGTTTTCCAAAAACCCTAGATAGACAGGATCTTAAATGTGAATATTCAAGCCCTGAAATATTTTATGTCTTTCCTATGCTCAAGTCTAAAAATCCCTATAGATGATTAAAGCTTATCTAAATCTAATAGAATACTTCTGGCTGCAATCTAAGCTCCCACTTTCATTTACCTTCACTGAGAAATTCTAGGCACTTGCCCTCCCTGTAATTAAGGAGCATGAGTTCATCCTTCAGCTTGTTCTCTTCTGGGCTCTCCCCAATACCTAGGCATGTCTTTCTAGATGCTATCTTCCAATCTTATCATTTTTCATGCCTGTCATCTAGTCACTCATGAAGTTCATGAATGTCCTTGTAAAAAGTATTATCCTGAGTCTATTCTTAGAAGAGGATATTCCATACAGAATCTCTAAAATCTTACACAGACAGGAGAGCATGGTGCACACATTTAGAGCTCACAGCCAGGAGTTATACCCAGAGTTATGCTCACTTCATACAACAGTATTGGGACTTTGAAACCTTATTGGCTTTATAGAGAGCTAGAAGCCAGAGAAAGATGGTAATTCTTCTATTCTATCATTTCCATATATATTTACTGCTTTGGGAGCAATTATTAATGTGTCATTTAATCAATTATTATTTCTGATGAGATAAACATAAACATAGAATTGAAGTGACAGACAATATTTCTAGAGACAGTGTTTGATAGTTGATGAGCCATCACTAGACCCTTCCAGAGGCACTTGTGCTAGGGTTGGGATCTGGGCCATGAAATGAATATTTGAAGCCACTGAAGGTTTACATCCTCAAGTGGGATGATAACTAGAGTCTTGGGTGGGACCCTTGGCAGGTTCACCTTGCTCCTAAATTTCCCACTGTAGCATTTTAATAAATGCCCAATCTTTTAAAACACACACACACACACACACACACACACACACACACACAAGCTCAGTCAGGGAAATACTACAAGTGAAACGTGAATGCCATAGAGATCAGAGGAAAGCACTGAATTCTAAACCTGCCCTTTCTTTCACTGACTATGTGGATCCAGACAACAGAATGTTTTATACTATTTCTTCATGTGTAAAAAGAGGATAATAAAATTTTGTCTACAGGAAACGAATCACACACACATTATTTATATGTCAGTCATATAAATAGAGGATATTGTCATAACTTATGCTCCCTAAAATCTTAATTTAATAATACTCATAAATTCTAATTAGTTCATTGATGAAAACGCAGAGCAAAGTGCCTTTTATCTACAAATAGTGATGGCTGCTTTTCCATGACTTGCAAATCTTTCCCTCAGGGAGAAGGGAGCTGGGAAGAATATATTAGGTCAACACAGCCAGGGCATGGTTACCTGTTATAAGGTGTGGAAAAGGTTGCCAAGACAACATCACGGCCATTAATGCGAATCACATCTGTAACTGCCTGGAGTATATTGAAATAAAAATGAGAGTCTCCAGGCACTGAGCAGTTCAGGCGAGCCTTCAGGAAAGATGTCCACTGCTTCTCCAGGACTCTCTGAGACCCTCCCATGTCATTCTTACAAACTTGAGCCACCCTGGGGAAAACAACCTGCAGAGAAAAGCACACGGGGAAAATGAAATGCAATTCTTTCCTTCCGAGATGCAGAAGATCTTAGAATTTGCCTTTGCCTAACAACAGAAACAGAACAACAAGGTACTTAATTTAATACTGCATTTCTAAAATCAGTAACAAAAAGAAAGAAAGAAAAAAGGAAGAAAAAACTCCCATAGAAACAGAATGTTTTAAAAGATAAGGCGATGGCATTTAATATGGAGCCATAAATCCTTCAGGGGATCAGCTCCCAGCCACATAAACTCATTTCCATACAGACTGCTTAGCTTTTATTTCCTCACACAAAAGCACACTTTGTATGCACCACCTCTGCCATCCCCACTGGCTGCCTCTGGGGCCTGAAATCTCATACTTGGAGTGTGAGTCCCTCTAACCATGCAAGCCACCCTGGCATTTTATTTGTGCCTTCTAACTTAGTGACCTTGATCTGCTGTCTGGTAAAGATAACCGAAATAAACATCATCTAACTGTTCTCTTGCTCTCTACAATAAAACCAAGACTCAGTTTGCCTAAAGACACTGGGTTTGCTTTCTCTCTGTGGAGTAACTCAATTAAAAGGGAAAATTGTACCTGGAAGCTACATCTCAAAACACTTAGAATTCGGTATGAAAGCAACCAAACATCTGTTGGTTGGATCTTCAGTAAAACATTCAAGAGATTCTCTTTAATTTGTTACTGTTCTGAAAAAGTAGATCGAGCCTTCAGACAGCTCAGTCTGTCACTTCTGCCAATCCTTGGTTGTGTTGTACCTGGGTTTACAGTGTGCGTTTCAAGGTCATTTATAACAACACTGGCTCAAACATGGGTTTCTGAAAAGGTCACAGATGGAGGCAGGGACGCTCTCCTTTCTTACCTTCCCCATGGTGTTGTACTCTACTGCAATTTCTCTGAAGAAGAAGTAGATATAGTCCCCATAATCCACTGCTTGGACAAAGTACGGTTCTGCAGACAAAAGGGCACTTTAATTGGAGATATGTCACATAGTATTAAGTGAATTTTAATCAAGTGTAGCCAAAGACGTGTTATTAATTGGAAGTGTAGGGCTATTAGACATGTGGTTAACACTAACCATTTCTAATGACTTCACAAGTGCCAGCGCTAGTGATTTCATAAGGCACTTGAGCCTACAAATTACATCTTTCACAAGCTTTGCAACCGAGAGTGAAGAATAAATGCGTTTTGCAAATCTCTAGTTTCATTTTCCACACTGGAATGTCCCTATGGCCTAGAGTAGTTTGTGCACATTGCTCTGTCACCCTGAGTCACACAGGGCTGGAAATAGCTTCTTTCCTGTTCCCACCCCTTCGTCCTCTGTTCCCTCTCATGAATGCTCTGTTCAGCTCTTTTCATGTGGGACTCTGAAATGAGAGTTTGAGGCAGGGAAAGATGAATGTAATGTATTCTATTGTCATGGCACTGGTAGTTTTGCTAATACTCCAGAAGCTCATGGGAAGGGGGAAAGGGAGGTTAAATAAATCAGTGGAAGCAAAAGATGCAATTTACATGGTTTTGTCTGTCAGAAACCATTACTAAAATGAATCTACAGTCTGGTCCATCCAGACTCCAAATGTCTCACGAGGTATGCATCTCCCTCTTCCCTCTCTTCATTTAGTTGTTCACCTTTCAGCCACTTTGAATCATGTTTGACTGTCCTGAGGGTAGGGCTGTCTCCAAGGCTCCTGTAAATGACTGCATCAATGGCCAGGAAGTCAGTCACCAATGCAGAGGAGAGTTTTCCATCTTAGGAGAAAAGGGAAAGAGTTGAACAGGGTACTGAGCAAGGCAGGGATGGATGACAGTGAAGATGTCCCATAGACTGCTTTCCTACATCAGGCAAATGAGATAAGACAACTTGGAAAAATCCAAGAGTCACTAGGAAAATGCTTGGCCCACATTCCTTACCATTTTAAATGGGCTCATGAAATAGGAAATATTTTTCATTTTTAAATTGCATGGCAATTTTCCTAAGCAACAGTGGCAGTGGCCGCAGCTCAGGGAATGGAGTAAATGAAATATGTTATTTGCTTCACTTGATTAGATGGACATTGACTGAAATCTCAAGGCCAAGGACCCTTGGATGCTGCTACTGCCACCAATCCATGATCAGCTCGATTAGGAGGGAGCCCTGAGAAATGAGAAAGCAAGTTTTATCAAAACAGCTTTTAAATCCATTCAGAAATATAGATGACCTGAGCCCTAGCTGAGCCTGATTGGGTAAAGGGAATGGAAGAGGGAAGGTTCACAGGCTCCAATAGGGTTGACTAGATGACTACTTCTATCCTGAGCATCACAGTCCTTCTTTTCTTCAGTTGTGAGGTTCATTGAGCCTTCCCAATCTAGCAAAACTCAAAATGGAAGCATTGCGGCATAGAAGTGGCCAAAGCAAAGACTCAAACAATAGGAAGAGCTGAGTTCAAATTGGCCCTTCATTAGGAATTCCCTGTTTGGGGAGATATGTTTGAGGGTATTTCCAAAAGCAACGAGAATGGAGAAAATTGAAAGTGGGGCTCTGAACTTCTGGCACATTTCTGGACTAGCAAATACTCTAAAAACAAAAAAAATCAAATAGGATAATTGAGAATAATAGTATCTCTGTCAGTTAAATGGAAGCCAAGTACATTCAAACTTTGTAGGATTTATTGAGGGGGTGGTAGGGTGGTTCAGCTGTTCAAAACCCAAGTTTGATTCTCAGCACCTACATGATAGCTCACAACATCTGTAACACCAGTTCCAAGGGATCTGTATCCCTCCTCAGGACTCCAGAGGTGCACATGTTTACTCATGGTGCACAAATAAACGTGCACAAAATACCTGTACATACAAAATAAACAAATAAAAATTTAATGCCTTTATTAATCCTTAAAATCTATGTATACATGTGTATTGTGATATGTATATATGTATGTGTGTATATTTGTATATGTGTGTTTTCCACAGCACACATGTAGAGGTCAGAGGACAACCTCCTGTGCCAGTCTTCACATAACACCTTGTTTAAGACAAGGTATTTTTGTTGTGAGCTGCTGTGTAAGCTAGGCTAGCTGGCCTTTGAACTCCTGAAAAGTCTCCTATGTCTGCCTCCCAATGTACTGTAGGAACATGGAGAGGTCAAGCTTACACTGTTAGGCCCAGCTTTTATGTGGATTCTGGGGATTCAAACTCAGGTCTTCATGCTCACATGGCAAGCGTTTTACCCACTTAGCCATCTCCTTAACACTATTTGATCCATGTTTAATGAATTTCATGGTTCCATTAATTATACCTCAAAGAAACATAGTGCTCTGTCAGTTTTTTTCTATATGTAGATCCTGTTTTTGAGGGTTTGTTTTTTCTAAACTTGAATAAACATCCTTTAAAAAAATTTAGATTCAATTATTTTATGCGTCTGAGTATTTTGCTAGTGTGTAGGTATGTGCAACATTTATGCACCTGGTGACCAGGGATGTCAAATGAAAGAATGCATGGGATCCCCTGGAACTAGAGTTATAAATGCTTGTAGATACCACAGGGGTGCTGGAAAGCAAACCCGGATCCTCTGAAAGAGTAGTGAGTGCTCTTAACCTCTGAGCCATCTCCTGCTTGCACCATATTCTGTTGGTAAAAAATGCCATTTAGTTCTAACTAGGCTCGCCATTAACAAGCACTTAGTTTTTATAAGATTGCAAACATTCCAACAAAAAATGATCCAATATCCCGCCTGCTTGGATAAGGAAACAAGCCATTTTCCTTGTAGCTGTTGGAAGCTAGGCAGCCTTAGTAAACTCTCCCCTTTCTAGTTCAGGCTGCCCGAAGTCCTCTTTTTAGATTCTATTTAACATTGAGTCTTCCCCTGGCCTTGTTTGCTCCTGACCTTGCTTGCTGACAGTGCAGAGCTGCTTCCGATGAAACTGTGCTGTCCTGGGGATGGGATAGGGGAGAACCTTGCTGTTTCTGTGCTCTGTCCCTCTGGACCAACCCACAATGGGAGACACTGAGAAGGAGCTAGGAACTAACTCTGCTTTATAATCAAAGTCTAAAAGTTCCCTCCCCACTTAGGCTATTCCAGGTGTTAGCTGTCATGATGGGAAGGACAGCTGATGGTGTGACCAATTTTTCCTCTCTCTACCCTCTTCTACATACACAGCTGGCAATGAATTCCTAAACAAACTTCCCAATTAAAACATACTCATATACAGAAATCCCACCAAGTTGGAAAACGATGGCCTACTAGCTACTTCTGTACATCCTGTTCAGCAGGAACAGGGGCGCCCATAGGCGATCAGCATCACCTTCTCAGACACTATGCTCATTTGGTCAGAGGTATGTGTATAGGTGAATCAGATCAATGATATTTGAGAAATCAGTTGCTCTATTGGAATGGATAAGCTTCCTTTTCCTTCTCTTCCTTTTCGTCCTATAGGTAGACAAGAAGACCTGCAGCCTTTGAGGCTGACGGAACAGCTGTCTCAGGAAAAGGAAATCACCCAAAGACACAGGCTTTACGTAAAATCCTGTCAACCTGACCTCTAGCATTAGATCCACATTGATGGTTCCATATAAGGTTTTCTAGTGCCTGAGCCCAAACCTCCTTTCGCCCATGCACTGCTGCACCACCATTCTTTCCAGAAGGCACAAAAGCCTGTGAGAGTGGGGCAGAGACTTCTTTTGAGAAGCAAAGCTACAGTCTCCATCCTAATTTCAAATGGAAGAGGCATTCTTAATTACAGTATTCACCAGAGAATCGGTACAACTGTGATTCTACAAATACTTCCAAGTAGAGTCTCAGTCACAGGCTGAAAAATGCAAAAACAAACTTAATGAGAAGAAATTGGGTCATTTACCTGCAAACAGAGCGATGTTGGCATGTTTGGCATCATAAGGGCATCTGGCCATTCCGCTAAATTCATCCCCAAAAGTTTCCAAAGTATCGACCTAAATAAAATAACAGAGTTGAATTACACCAACAATAGGAGGAAAACTGATATTTAAAAAGTGATTAACATGCAAAGTAATTCATAGGCACCTTGCAAATGCATCCTTTGTAAATGCCCACTGAAGTAAATCTATTAGTTTCAGATAAGGAAATCGAGGCTTCGAGAGACAATTTGCTTGATCAAGACTCTCTAATTAGGGTAGTGTGGAATTTGAGTATGTCTGATTGGCTCTTAACCCACTACAACAGACAGATTTCCATATCCTAGTGGAATGTGGAAGAAATAAACATTTTTAAACTAAGGCATTTCTAAGGTAGTTACTGGGAAAACCTAACTGCCCTAATTATCTCCTGAGTTGTGAACTCTATAGAGAATGAGCTGCATTTCTGGATTTGTTTTGCCTGATGAGTCCTTCCTTTGTGGATTAAATCCCAGTAGGAGACACTGGAATTTTTCCTCCAGTTGGTTGGCAGAGCAGTGTGGCATCAGCCAAGGTGAAAAACATGCTTGCTAGCAAAACTCAGATGGCTTCTGCACCGACGTCAACCCAGCTTCAGAATGAACTGCAGAGAAGTTGAGGCCCCAAAGGTAAAGGGGCATATGTAGGTCACATACAGTGGGAGGAAGGGCTCCTACCTACTGATCCCACAGCCCAACCTGGATCTGGCTCCTTTATACTAAAGAACAGAAGATTATATATGAGTTGCTTGGGAGTTATGTTTGACTCTATTGGCATGGAGAGATAAAGAAAGACAGAGGCAAAGAAAAAATGGAGAGAAACAGAAGAAACTGAACACTGATTTTAAATTGCTATACAAAACCCCGAATTTCTTCCTTCTTTTGAACAGAAGTCAATGCATGTCTTTCTTACTCATGTGATTATTGCTTATCTATTACTCCACAGGTAACACACAGATGCCAGGCCCATTGGCATTTGCAGATGTGGCAAAGTCTCCCCAGCTGTTCACCAAATGCCATCGCTCTTCCCTCCAGATCACACTACAGCACATTCCCCCACCTCCCTTGCACTCTGATGTAGCTGTGTGACTGTGCTCTGGCCAATGACACGTGAGTATATGCAATCTTGCTCCTTTCAGCTTCTCCTCAGCATATTATGGAGGACACCAGGTCCCTCAGAGAGGGCAAAGGTAGCCTCAGAAAAGACTTTGCTCTTCTGAACACCTTCATAGAATAGACACATCTCCCTGAACACACTTGACTGTGAGGGAAGCACAGAGGACACATGCCACATGAATCAGAAGTCAGAGCATCTCCACCAGTGTTGCTCTGGTGATTGTCATTTGCTCCCTCATTTCTTAGGATCTTACTAGGAAGAAAGAGCTCAACACCAAGTTCAAAATTGATCACATTAGCATTACTATTGTCACACCCATTTCTAGACTCCTGTCAGCTTAAGCATAGTTTGACCACCAATCTGAGGACAAGGGGAAGATAAACCTCAAACAGAAAAGGCACTGGCAGTGCACCAAGCTGCCCAAATCAAGGCACTTAAAGTCACTGCTTGAGTAGAGGCTGAGGATGTGATAGGTATTGTGCTATCCAGTCAGCTGTACCTTCTGCCCTAATGTCCCCATTGCATGGATGTGACAGGCCTTTCCTCTTGGTAAACACTTTGAGGTGGCCCCTGTTTTAAGTTATCCCGTGTTTGCAAAGTGCATGTGAAAGTCACATAAAAGAGAAGGATTTAAAATGTAACTGTTTTAGGGGGCAAGAAAGTCAAGTCAGAGATATCCTTTAAAGTAATATATTCTCCATCACCAGAACATTCTCACAAGGGTCTTTTTCAGGTACTTTAACCTAACAAGAGCTTTCTGTTGAACTGCACAGTGTGGTTTGTGGGTCTGCAGGTACTCGGCAATGGACCTTTGCAAACACCAAACAATTGAAATGGCCTATTCCAAGTGGGGCCTGCTCTAATCCTAACATCAAGAAGGAAAACAGAAGAGGGATACAAGGGGCTACAGGTACAACAGAGTCAAAGGAGGAAGCAAGAAAGAATGTTGTGCTGATTTGTGTGTTTGGGAAAGCCTAGAGACTAAACAAATAAATAAATAAATACCATGGTGAAATATCTCTTTCCATGAAGGAAGAACTAATCCTTGAAGTCACAAGCTCTCTGAATAAAACCCCCGTTCCTAGGAAATTAAATCCCATAAGAGGACAAACAGTTATAGAAAGAACTTGCCTGGCTTTTGGAGAAAGCTCAGGTCTACATCCCCAAAGGAGGAAAGGGGTAGAAATTTAGAAATAGTGAGAAGCCCTCAAATTCTTCCCCAGATAATTTTATTGGGGTCTAGTATCTTTCTAACACATCCAACTTTATGTAAATATATATAAATTAGACCGCTGTGAGGAGACAGAGACCGAATGCCTTCCAAGTTACTCTAATAACATTGTCACTTGCTTCTCTACTAGGAAGAGACTGGAGCCTCATGGTGCAAGGCCAGTCATTGATTTTGCTTTGAGTCCTTAGTCCTGACTTGTTTATAAAAAGCATGGAAGAGAGTGGCTCTTGCTTCCCTGTCACACAGTGGTTCTCAACCTTCCTAATACTGTAACCCTTTAATACAGACAGTTCCTCATGTGGTAGTGACCCCCAACTATAAAATTATTCTTGTTGCTACTTCATAACTGAAATCTTGCTATTGTTATTTATCATAATGTAAATATCTGTATTTTCTGACAGTGTTAGGTCACCCCTATGAAAGGGTTATTTGACCCCAGAGGGGTCGTGACCTACGGGTTGAGAACCACTGCGGTGGTACATCATATCAAACCATCGCCAAAGTCACACTGTGCCCCAAGTCTAACAGAACAGTCACAGTGCTGGGCATTGAGGCAGGATGAGAAGTGAACACCAAGCTGTGTATGGCTTCTGAGAGCACTAGGCTGCTAGACATGTCACCATGGATGTGGCTGCAAGTGAGAGGGGGAAAGCACTACTATAGGTGAGGGAAATGGAATATGCACAGGTAGAATGATCTAGAACACTCATGGCCTGTGTATCACAGTGCCAGGAAAATGTATTATTTCTCACGAAAGATAGCTTCCCAGCTGGGGAATTCCTTGGAGCGTGTTAGAAGCGTTAATGTTAATGAGTCCTAAACAATGACAAACAGGGATAGAATAAAATCAGGTTGAGCAAGCCATGGGAACAAGCCAATAAGCAGCATTCCTCCATGGCCTTTGCTTCAGGTCCCACCATCAGGTTCCTGCCTTAAGCTCCTGTCTTAACTTCCCTCGTTGATGGACTGACTAGTACCTGGAGTTGTAAGCCTAAATAAAACCTTCCCTCCCCAGGTTGCTTTTGGTCATGGTGTTCTATCACACAAAAGAATCACTAAAACACCTTCATAGCACCACCCATAAACTACATTGTAGAACTCCCATCTGTGAATCCTCTATGTCATCTAGACTAGAGGCATCCCCATCACCTACTCTTCAGGAGACAGTCTAGGAGGCCATATTGACACTTCTCTCTCCATCCTTGTCTGTGCTTCTCAACAATCATTAAATCTTCCTGGGTTATTTTGTTTTTCCTGAATCTTTTCACTTTCCTTCATTCCTAAGCCAACCAACCTTTTCAGTTTCTTGTCATTGTCCCTTGTCACATCACAGTCCAACATTTCAGAGCTAGAATAAGTTTCCCACGCTCAGTAGGTTGTTTCTTGTGCCATGTCTTTGCTTGTGAAGCTCTCTCTACCCAGAATGCCCTCAGCCTTCATTTGGCTGACTTCCTACTACCCATCAAGACAAAAGGTAGAGACTGGGTGATTCATGATTTATCTGACCAGGCGCCGGCTTAGGAGGCACTATTTCAGGTTCTGAGCAACCATAAATGTGTTTCATGCCCTTGGCCAAGTCTCTGTGATGTTAATTCTCCAGCTATAAGACCAGCATGTGGGAACTTTTTAGAAGGGTCTCATCTGCCTCTTTCCTACAGCTTCCAGCCCTTTACCTCAGGTGAGGGTAATGGCCTTTGTGTTGTGCTTCCTTAACTCCTCTCACATCATTTGACCAAGCAGCAACTCTGTGGACATGTAGCATTTCTCCTGAGACTTGGCCTCCCTAGTGGCCAACACTTCTCTGCCTTTATAGGCTCAGTGCTTAGCCACTATAGAAAATCAACATACATTTCCTGAGGAAAAAAATGTTGCACAAAGAAAAGCTATTAGAGGTGGAGCCAAGATGTTAGCGCTCTGGCAACTCTGCTCCAGCAGCTTAGGCACTCCTAGAATTCCTCAACCATAAACTACCTCCCCTGCCCCCACTTGATTTCCTGAGTCTTTGAGGCTGGTTCTTTTTTCCTTTTCCTCTTGTTGTATACAGGCCAAAGCAAGTAAGGCCATGGCCAAGTGAGCTGGTACAAAATGAAATTAAATGCCTCTCTTGAAAATCTTGCAATTCGAGTCTATGGTTTCAAGCAGCATGCTTTGGCGATATCTTTTACAGTAGGAATTCCTCACCGATTAAGTGCGTTTTTGTCCTCACAGAGGTAAAACAGGAGTGGGAGGGACAAAGAGCAGAAAAGAGGAAATCCACATTCCATTATACGTGATGTCTTCGGAACAATAAAGAATGGTCACCTTCTCGAGAAAGGCTCTTTAAAGGTATCAATCAATTCTGAAGAAACAGGAAGCTTGGAACCCTGATCAGGATCACTCTCTTGGAACAATACACCAAGCTGGGCAAGTGAAGAGAACCCATATGGTGTTGAGTTACCCTTCTTCAGTGGCTGCAGGTATGGTGACAGTAAATTATGAAATCCCCGCTGGCAGTATGCTTACAAACAGACAAGTGACATTTACCTTGTAGTTTCTGCAGGAAGGGTTGAAGGCATTGGTTCCACAGACAAACAGAGTATCGTCATTCTTCTTGAGAAGAACTTTAATGAAATTGTGACACTCATCCTGAAACAAAATTCAAACTGGTTTAACAGAACCCACTCAGCACAAAAGCCCATTCATCACCCTGGACCATGATCCGACAACAGAAGGATCACAGTGAAGACAGGACAGTGTGCAAGGTTACAGAGCCAAGATCCCCAGTTACATGGTCAAGCACTTGCCGATCAAGCTGTTAAACAAGAAAGGACGTCCCTGATTATTTCAACAGTAAATACAAACACGGCAGGGACTGATAAACCTGTTTCTTTTATGTCACAAAAAAAAGGAAACCTCAATGCAGCAACCTCCCACCATATTAATTTTAATGCCAGATGTTCCAGGATTCCTTGAAGACACTATGTTGTTATTTGACCAAAGGTACAAAAGCCTGTGAGTCTGCTGTGCTTTTCCTGCGTGTTCCCGAAGACTGGAGGTGTCTCCTGGCCTGCAAGGTGGGTTCCTGGGACAGGTCACTAGAAGACTCAGGAGACGAGCTCTGAGTCAGTAATCCCTACTGCGCTCAGGGAGCAGTTCTAGACGCAGTCCTGGCAGCTGTCGTAAGGTTTCATCGAAAGTGCAAACTATTTTTGCAAATTAAAGCTTTCAATAAGTTGATGGAAAAAGCAATTACTGGGGAAAAGGGACTAGCAAGATGCATTCAAATCATAGTCTACGGCTAGAGATAACCGTCAAAAACGGGACCCGAAGTGGCAGCTGCAGGAGAAATGAAAGTTGCCTACCTTATGTTTCCCCTTCATCCTGCACGTGTCTACATCAGCCTGTCTAGATTTCCATGTCAGTTTCTGCAGGGATCAAGAAAGAAATCAATTAGGGCCCAGAGCTTTGTTGCATTTGAAGTAAAAGTTCCCTAGGGGCAACTAGAGGCTGAACATTTATTTATTGAAAGCTTTCTACACCCTTTCCCCATGATTAATTCACCACGACAACAAAATATTAGAGAAGGAAAGATTTTGCTAAATTTTGAATTCTTATCTGTTCATTAAACTACATGGTGGTCTCCTTTTTGAGATGAAATTTCATGAGAAATATTCAACACAACTCGCAAATTGTGCTCATTTTGGTAAAATGTGTGTTGCCGACATTTTTGTACAGTTCAATCAGTCTTTGTAAAAATGACCTTTCCCCTAAAATATGGAAATCATTTTCTTAAGCATAAAGTGGACATTTGCTCCAGGCAGACAGGGATTTAATTCAGGTTGTGCTCCTTCGTGTAAGTTCAGGGGCGAAGTCTCCTACTTGTACTGCACAGTTTCATTAACTAAACTATTCCCATGTGGAGTCATGAGAAAAGCTTATGTGAGGCTTTATGTTTGTCTGGATGATGGTTAAATTCCAGAACCTCACCAGTCAAGTAACTTACAAGCTTCATGACGTAGAAGCATTGACATTGAGACAGGTTTTAATATGTTTCGGGGGGGGGCAGAATTTTATTTATTAAAATGGATATTTTCTTGGAAGAACATGGCCATATTTTATTAAAGGATTTTACAAATTACATAAATCCCCAACATGTATATGAACGCACTGATGAAATATGTGTTTTGGAATGTGTAATAAGCCCTCACTAACCCCTAAAGCAGACTTTATAAAAGGTGTGTTGGTATTAGTCATACCATCCCAATCACTGCATTTAAGGTACATGTTTCCTAATGACCCCATTTTAGAATGATGGTTTTAAAAACAACTTACTTTGCTACAATAAATTTCTTCTGTGTGGGATGTGTCTATATCAACAGTATAAATATGGTCCCTGTAAAAGAAAAAAATTAATACAAAGTCAAACACAAGAGTTAATACAACTCATTATCTATAGAATAAGTTTAATATGTTTGGAGCAGATAAGCCCGTGATCATATTTGTTGAAAGAAAGAAAGAAAGAAAGAAAGAAAGAAAGAAAGAAAGAAGAAAAGAAAAGAAATCAGCTGGGCAGTGGTGGTGCATGCCTCTGATCCCAGCACTCTGGAGGCAGAGACAGGCAGATATCTTGAGTTCAAGGCCAGCCTGATCTACAGAGCAAGCTCCAGGACATACAGAGCTATGCAGAGAAACCCTGTCTGGAAACAAACAAACAAACAAACAAACAAAACAAAACAAAACAAAACAAAAACAAGATATCCACATGCTAGAAAAAGGAAGAATTTAGTGAAAGAGATTATGTTGAACCACATTTGGTACTTTTGATTTATGGTGGCATCCGGTTGACATACAAAAGCTCCCATAACTATTCTCCTAATCTCAGAACTATAGAACCATGTGTACAGAGCTCAGCTGGGAAGATCTGCAGATTAATGTGGTCCAGTGACTGGAGCATAGATGGGTTCACTTTGGCTCTCAGTATCTTCAAACCCATGCACAAATCACTTGGTATTCAAATGCTACATTTGATAATTTGACAAACAAGATGGAAGAAAGGTAAAATTATTTCCAGAAGCTACCCTACCCTCTGCAAGACCACATTAATTAAAGTATAAATTACTCGAGCTAAGGTTGACACTTTGTGCCTCTGCTCACCCTCTGGTTTTGCTGAGTTTGGTTGTCTCTACAGTTTTTGCTGCCAACCTCCCCTTAGAAGGGGAGACTCGGAATCAGCAGCTCAGGTGTGGGGCTGTATTTAAACCTCCCTTCTGTGTGAACAGAGTACAAGGGTCTTTTTGTCTGGAATTCCGAAGAAAGAGAAGAAAAGAAACACACTCAATGGAGGAGGTGGGGGGCTGGCGGGGGGGAACCAAACAGCTCATTTTCCTTTGAAATAACATTGACTTTTTCTAAAATGCAGGAAGTCCTGGGGCTGGAAAATTATGCACAGCTTTAAACCAGGACCTCAGGGCTCCTGTGAAGACTTTCAAACCTCCTCATTAGTTAGAAAGAAACAGAGAAACAGAGGCTGGGGGAGAGGAAAAGAAAGCAGTTATTTGTAATATTTATATATGATATTTGTATGTGCATA